CTGGCATGTCTCAACGTGTGCACTTTGCTACAGCTTGACCAACAGGCAGTACTTGCCGGCACACTAGAGACCCTATCGATTGATATTTGCCATTTCTCAAAAACTTGCCTGCAAGATTCGTGCTCCGTTCTTACCCTGCGATCCCCCACATACGATACTGTCGGCACATTCTCATTGCACCTTTCCGGCGATGATGCAGCTTCAAATGCCGATCAAAATGGCGTCGGCATTGTTTTGAGTCCCCGGGCTGTAACTGCCTTGATCGATTGGATCCCGGTCAACAGTCGGATGTGCACCGTTAGGTTAGGTGGTTCGTTCCATGCTACGAAGTAGCGCAAGAGTAAACTGTCTGTTTGTCATTGCGGCCTACGCCCCTACAAACTGTAGCACTGATTCGGTGACAGATGATTTCTATCAGCAACTTAACGGTCACCTTCGTTACAGACGAAGCACAGATACTGTGGTGCTGGCTAGCGATCTAAAGGCCCAAGTCCGAAAATTGTTCTCATGAACTTCATCTGGACGGTCAACATGGCGTAGGCTCCCGTAATGATAACGGTGAACGAGTGCTACAGCTGTGTGAAGATGCTCGTCACTTTCTTGCGAGCACTAACTTTCGACACAGCATCCGCAAAAGCGTGACTTGGCGGCCACCAGCCTCGCACCAGCCATGCACGCAAATCGATCATGTCGCGATCAGTTACCACTGGAGTGGCTGTGTCCAAAACTGTCGCTCGATTTGGAGCACGAGCGTGGACTCTGACCACGAACTTGTTTGCGCCGACCTCGGGTGCGTTTCGGTGAACGTCCGCAACGTCGATGTGAACGGATTGACACCAGCCAGCTGGCGAAGCCTGGTGTTCTCAATGTGTATCAAAGTGCGCTGACATCTGGGCTGAGTAAGCGCCCACTAAACACCGTTGAAGATCACTGATCGCATATTCGTAAAACGTTACTATTAGCAGGCATGTCTTCATGTGGCAAATCAAATTACCAAACCGGACATTGGGTCACTACACAGTCTCTGGAACTTATGGATGCTCGCCGACGTATTCCGGCTGGAAGCGAATACAATGAGGCTTGCAAAAAAGGGAAAAACTGCGTGCTATCCTGAAGAAAGACCGCGAAGCCTGCTGTCTCATCGTGCCTCGTAGATGGAAACAGCCTCTACCGTTGGTAATCATCGTAAGGTATTCCGTCTGATGCGGGAAACTGGCAGCAGGAGACCTGGTGTTAGCGAGACCATACGCAACGTGAGTGCGCAGCCGATCCACAGCCTGTCAAAACGCATGGAGCGTTGGGCCGAACACTTTGCAAGGCAGTTTAACCAACCTGAGTTATCGCTTTCTTTTTCAGCCATTAAGCGCCCTTCTCCCTGGGCCGTCTCCTTGTATCCGCCCTCACGTGCAGAAGTCGAACATGAGATCATGCTATTGAAATTGCATAAGGCCGCAGGGGCAGATAGTATTCCTCCAGCCCTCTTCAAATTCGGGGGACCCGCTCTAGTAGATGAGTTACACGAGTTGCTAGTTAAACTTTGGGAGCAGGAGACTGTCCCGACAAACTAGAGCCATTCCGTCCTTGTCCCAATTTTCAAGGGAGGCTCCCGTTTGGAATGCGGCAATCATAGAGGGATCAGTCTGACCTCAATTGCCTCTAAATTGCTTGCCTCTGTCATTCTCCACAGACTGACTGGCACTCGCGAAAGCCAGATTCGTAAAGAGCAAACCGGGTTTCGTCGAGCTCGGGGCTGCATCGACCACATCTTCACCTTGCGTCAATTGTTGGCGCACCGCCATGTTTTTTGGCAACCCACTGTTGTCGTGTTTCTTGCCATAAAAGGTGCCTTCGACTCAGTCGATCGATGTGTCCTCTGGAACTGTCTGCTGAGGAAAGGTGTGCCTGATAAATACATAAACCTTATCAAAGCGCTGTACGCGCATAGTTCGGGCAGAGTGAGGGTTTATGGCAAACTGTCGCCACTCTTCAGTATCACCAGCGGTGTGAGACAAGATTGCCCCCGTCACGTTTCCTATTTAACTTCGCAGTTGACGAAGTCATGGAAACAGCGTTTGCTAGACACGACCTAGAAGGTGTGGAGCTACTTCCTGTTGAACGACTTCTTGTCCTGGAGTACGCGGACTATATTGTCCTAATCTGTGGCAGTTCCCAAACATGCCATGCAACAGTGGACCGATTAGCACTGGCTGTCAATCGTTTTGGGCTATGCTTTGCTCCATCGAAATGCAAAGTACTTCTCCACGATTGGCAGGGACCCAACTCTGCGCTAACGTTTGGTGGAACTCAAGTACCTGGGCAGCTATATTAGCACACGTGGAATTGAAGACGAGGTTATGAACCGTATAGCAAAAGCTCGAGGTGCTTTTGCCAATCTCCGCCACCTGTGGCACATACACGGCATTGCTCTCGCCCTGAAGGGCAGAGTTTATAACTCAGCCGTCCCTTGAACTCTCCTATATGGTTGTGAAATCTGGCCCGTCAGGTAGACAGACATAAGGAGGCTTCTCACATTCGATCATCGCTGACTTCGCAGCTTAGCTCATGTCTGGTGGGAGCACCGCGTGAGCAATAAGCGTGTTCGGCGTCGCGTATTTGATGCAGTAAGAGCGAGTGAGCTGCTCAGCACTATTATATTACGCACCAGACTCCGATGGCTGGGCCGCGTGTTGCGCATGCCAGCACACCGACTTCCGTGACCTGCATTGTTTGCGCGTTGTGGGTAAGTTTGGAAGAGGCGGAGGGAAGGCCAAGCGATGACTTGGTCAAGAGGAATGAAAGCCCTCACTTCGAAACTGGCGTCGGTTGGTGCATCCCGACTGCTTGGCTGGGGTCTTAAGGACGCTGACCACGTTTGATTGGACACACTTGCTGACATGGCGAAGAGCCGGCCCCAATAACCTTTGTGTTGTGAGTTTCTTTGTCCATCCCTTCCCTTCAGGCTCCCCCTGCAATCCCGATCTCATGCAACGCGTAGTATAATATTTACTATATTTTTAATGCAATTTTTAGTCTTATCTTTTGTATTGTGGCACATTAGCTGAGGTGTTTCTCACCCTCATCTAACGTGTACTGATGAGGATGACGTATATCGATGCTGTACCATCGTCCGCCGTGAATGGTCTCCTACAAAGCGAAGTGTGTCATGACTATACCGTAGCCTCTTCTCCATCCAGCTTCATGGTAAGTGCCACTGAATGGGTCGGTTCCAAGTGTTTCATCTGAAGCTTGGGTACTTCCGATTGTCCTCTTGGCAAACTTAATTACTTAGGTTATCTAGCTTTCCCGAGCAGTATCAATCTCATTTCTAATTACTCCTGTTCAGCTTGAAACATTTTTGTACACTATGACTTGCTCTTTCCACCTTTAGAATGCAGGGTGCTATTGCCTGGCTGGCTGGCTGATGCATCACATTTCCTCACTAGCACGTGCCAACGATTGGGATAGTTACTCGGCCTAATTGCTTAGTTCTAACCTCAGGGAAACAACTATTCCTTACGACAGTTCTGCGTGTAGCCGTTTACAGTCTTGGCGGTTCAAAGATAAGACCATGAACTAGCTTGTCGGTTGAACACAAAGAGTTTAGTGGGTTATACCATAGAATCCGCTGACAGCTGCTGAGCGCCAGGAGCTCTAAGCGGCTGCTTATTTTAACCACCAGCTTTTAAGGGACGTTGTTAATGTCTAATGGTAGCACAATGCGAATAATGCTGGTTTGGTAGTTTTTTGCGGTTTGTCCTCTAATACCGCATGGAGCAATCTGACTAGTTCTCACCTTATTCTTCTCCAATTTTACCATCCTCGCTTGCCTGCCAATCAATTGCCTTTGTGTGCTCCGGAGCGATTGGTCTACTAATTGAGAAAACGGAAACGAAAAGCTTCCTATAAACTTTAGTGTGGCTTTATATTTGATTGGTCTTGGTATCTACCACACGGAATATGGCGCAGTCGAGGAGCAATGGCCCTTTTAAATTCCCTTTCGCTTTTTATCATTGGCTGCAGTTTTCAATTATTCTGATATTTTTCCAAGACACCTCTGCAGTTTGTTTTCCGTTTGTCGACATTCCTGATTGTCACACTATTTTCACCATGTTATGAGTGAAAACTGCTTAGTTCTACATGCATACACCCGAATCGTTGTTAGTTAGTTGAACTTACACTATGTAAATCCAGAAAATAAGAGGTGCGTGGTCTGTAAGATGTGCTTGCATGTGTCATATATTTTTAGTCAACAGGAAAGTTATTGACGTGTAACAGGCCTAGATGGATTGACGATGCGTATCTGGACACTATTGTAACTCACTCCCTAATCAACGGCTGCACCGCTTGTTTTCTACGCAGATAAAATAGATCGATTGCTATTGGCTTAGCGTCATATGTACACGCGAGTTATCTTGTCTGTAATGTTACTTTCTGATGTCAACTTCTTTTTATTGTCGACTATCGACGCACTACACCTGTAAATTTCCCTGTGATAATTGCCTCGTACAAGCTTTTCACTGTACTCGCTCTGATTCGCCACATTTCGATTATTCAGCATGCGGCACTCAGTTTCACCATTTGGTGTGTCATTTATGAGCTCTGTCAGATTCATCGGTTCGATCGACGCGAGCTTTGCACCTCATATCTAAAGGGTATCAGCAGTACGCCGGCACGTAGTACCGACGCTTCGCTGTCGCGCAACCACCACTGGCCGCAGGGGGACTAAGCATACTACGAGACTCACCCGGCTTCTACGCAGGCTCGAACCCGCGCCATGGGAATATAAGGCAGGCTTGTGATCCTTAAGGCTACGGGCGGCAACCTCCTATCTAACCGTTTCTGAAAATTTTTACAATGTTAAGTTTAACACAGAGTCCTGTTGTTTATGCTGTCTTGAAAATCTTTATTTTCACTATGTCAATCCACAACTTTTATGTTTCTATCCACTGGGTTTAACACCTACTTTAATTCACCTTACATGACGTATTTTTATTTTTCAGGTCACTGATTTGGTCATCGTGAATGAGACGCGTGGTGTCCCGGATACTTTGATTGTAAGCCATCTCCCCTACGGACCAACCGCTGTGTTCACCCTCTACAACGTCCGTACTCGGCATGATATGGAGCAACTGGGTCGAGGCACTGGTGCCAAAGTGCCTCAAGCCTATCCACACCACATTTTCCATGGACTAAATTCAAAATTAGGTCTTAGAGTTCGCTGCATATTGAAGCATTTGTTCCCCGTCCCCAAGGATGATACCAGACGTGTGGTGACTTGGTACGAGGAAGACGATGTTATTTTCTTCCGGTACGTGTATGCGATGCATTCGCATTTTTTATCCACTTGCTGTGGTATCTGACGTTTTCAATGTCATGGTGTGTTGTTCGGGCGAAGTCTTCGACTTACCTATCTGTATTGTCACTGCCGTCGATTTAATACTCCACTGCTTATGTATAATATAGGGGAGGAAGAATGGTACCCCCTGTACGACTTAAACGCGTTAGGCACCTTCGCTTTTCTGATATCTTGCAGCTTCACGCATCTATGGTGTGAAAATAAGCTGGCATCGATGAGGCTACCCCCTCGCAACCCTAATTGTCCAACCACATAACAAACCTCAGCGGCATCATGCGCACTGAACAAGCAGTCCGACTGGGCAACAGCCGTGAACATGTCACAGTTGCCGGTTGCATGCTATGTCTGAAACCAAGCAAGCCTGAATTAGACTATTGCGGTGTTTTCCCTCTATTTTGCAGTCACCACACCTTCAAGTACGTAGAGAAGGAACTGCAGCTGAAGGACCATGGCCCATCCTTTGACATGCGCTGTAAGTTTCCCGTCTTAAGTTTGTCTCTTTTCTCTCTCATTAGCGTTGTTTTTGACCGTGGTGTTCGTTAGTTTTGTATAAGCCCTTGGATTTCACGCACCAGAGACGTTCGCCACGATTGCTTCATTTCCCCTTCCTTTTCAATTTTACCATCGCAGATGTCATCCAACGAGCTTTGCAATGTGTCCAAAACTGTGGTGTTGTGCTTCTCCCTGACGACTGCGTCGCGCACTTGGATTACATCGATGATGTCACTTTGCTGGGTGACGATCCACTGGCCAACCAGGGTGCTTTGATCTGCTTAGCTGTAGAAGCGTTTAGATATGGCCTGTATTTCACCTCAGGCAAATGCGAAACGCTACCCCACGATTGGCATGTGCCTGTGCCTGCCCCCACCATTGCTAGTGATGTTCTGGAACAAGCCCTATTTAGCTGCGAAGTTGCATCACGGCTAGCGGCGGTGTTGCAAAGGAGGTTTCACAGCGGATCACCAAGACACGCATTGCGGTTGCCCATTTGTTCGCCGAGCCTGGAGATTTGTTTGCATACCTTTCACCACTATGCGTGGTGCCATCGCCTGTGCGCTGATATGCCGGTGCTTAGTGGTCTGCACGTCTGACTTGCAATCATAAGGTCACCGCTTCGAATCCGCGTAGGGGCGGGCGTCCTCGCGGTCTACTCAGCCCACGCGCAACTGGTGGTGGTCCTGCGGCAGCGAAGCGCCCTTACGGCGTACAGCTGATACAGTATTCTTCATTTTTCCCAGAAATCAACTTGAATACTCGCTTTTGTTGATCAAAAGTCTTATCGCACAATCTGATACTGTTATTGGAAGTAAAGAATAAAATAGAATAGATCACCAAGAACACATCAATATCGGTGGTCTGCGACCTGTAATTGTCTCGTGCGTGACGGCCATAAACTGGTACCTGCAACTTGGACTACGTGATCGACCAATCGATAGGGACAGGTCTTTCTAAACAGTTACTCAAAACGACTGGGCGCGACGGTGACCATAAAAATTGGTGACGGAGAATTTTTGATTGGACAATCTAGAAATGCCGTTTTCACTGAAGGAGCTTGCCGCAATACTTCAGATCGACAGTAGCAATTCGAAGAAAGCTGGACACTGTTGATTGAGTATATCTTCCAATGGCTTGCGGTACACGCAAAACCTTGCACTGTAAGGCAGCAGTCATCTGTTGATGCAATCGCTAACTTCGTTTAGATAAGAACACGATGCCGGCCTCACCTTGAATCCTGTTTCAAAAGATACAAAGGCGTTTTCTCGTCTGAATTTTCCGTTGCTGACGACGGATGGAAGTGTTGATTGCTTTTACTGAAGCATCGAACCAATAAGCACGACAAGTTTCACAATCTTATTTTGCCAAAATTCCCCAAAGCTTTTACCTTCGACCAACTTGTAGCTATGTTAAATGATATGTTTGGTGAACAATCTTCCTACTTCAACGTCTAGCACGGTTGCATGAAGCTCGTTAAGTACCTATCAGACGATTTCATAACTTACGCGAGTACCGTCAACTGTCATTGCGAGTGCTTCAAGCCAAAAGAAGTGACTGACGATCAGTTCTCACTTTTGTTTGTGATCTCTAAGCGCCGGAGGATACCGAAATACGCTTGATGCTGCTTAGAAAAACCGAGCAGGATCCTTCCATCAAACTCACGTCCATCACTTCGAATACCAGAGGTTAATCAACTTTAAGCGACACGACCCTGATTGCCCAAGATCGCAATCTATGTCCCGCAGATGTGCTGGCGGTGTAAAACCAGAGCGGAAGTCCAGCGACGGCACCAAACTCGGTGTAGTCAAACGGATCCACATCCGCATTTTGGTAATGTGTTAATTGCACTTCGTCAAATTCTGTCCTTTCAAATAACCTCTTTGTCAGCAGTGCAACAAACGGTGCTATGCAGCTGCTTTCAACAATAACGTCTCCACCAAATATTCCAAACAGATTACGCCCACCTCCCTAACGATACAAGAATTTCAGCTTTATCCTGTTTTCGCTACCTTATATAAGGGGTCCGCCAAGCGCAGGAGGTCCGTGACGGTGGTTTTAAACCGAGTGCCCTTGCGCCTCCAATACAACCCTGCCTCAGATATCACGGTCATATCCGAGGAAAATTGGAAGAAATCGGTGAACCACCTGTTCAAAGAACAGCTCGGTTTACAACCAATGTTTCAGCAGAACCGCTGAACTTGACCGGTAAAATTTATCACCCTGTAATGTTCATTTCGATGGGGTTTGCTATATAACGGTGCACTCAGACCTGAACTTACTCGGTCACGACTGGATTGACAATATGCAACTGAATTCCGTATGCAACAAATTAGGCGATGCAGCTATCAATTGGGCAGAGATTCTACAGCGCAGCTACCCGAAAGTGTTTCAGGTTGATCTGGGGTTTTCTACGAAGACCAAGGCCAGTTTATCCTTGTGATCAGACGCGAAACCACTCTTCCGACCAAAATGACCGGTTCCATATGCATTGGTTTCGATCTTCGACCAAAACTTAACAGGCTACAGTCATCGGGACTTATCAAAGCGACCAGTTACTCTTCATAGACAGCCCCCATTGTGATTGTCAAGAAACCACACGGGGTGATCCGCCAATGTACAGATTATACTGCAGGTCTGAATGCTACATTAGAAGACCACTAGTAGCCTCTACCCATTCCTGGATACCTTTTTCCACGGCTGAACGGTGGCAAGTGTTTTGCCAAACTGGACTAGTCTCACTCATGTCTCCAGATTGAAATGTCGAAGGAATCGCGTTAGCTGCCTACAATAAACGCCCACAGAGCACTTCCAAAATACACGCCGGCTATTTGGTCTTAACTCGCCCCCAGTACTTTTTCAACATATCCTGGGTAAAATGCTACAGGGAATACCATATGCCGCTGCATATGTGGACGATGTCATTATCATGGGAGCCAACCAGGAAGGACTGCACTAACGAACAGAACACTTGCTTGACAGGATAAAAGAGTATGGATTTCTCCTAAGAACGAACAAGTGTGAATTTCTCATGACATCCATTAAACATCTCGGCTCCTTCATTGACCAAATTGGGCGTCGACCTGATCCATCAAACACCAAGGCTATGAAGGACATGCGCCCACCTAAAGACATAGAGACGCTGAGCTCATTCCTGATTCTGGTGAGTTTTTGCAGTACCTACCCACCGTCCATGCACGACCTACGCGGACCTTTAAAACCATTGCTGATGAAGGATGTTCATGTTGTCAACGACAGAGACTACTCAGCAAGATAAACTCGTCACTCCACCAATCTCTCCTGCACCTGATGGACAGACCGCTGCCGATTTCCCGTCACGCCGCTGGAGGTCAACTCCAGACTGGACTCATATAATAGTGGACTTTAAACGGGGAACGTATCAGTTAACCCCACTTAGAGCAAATTCTGGCCTTTTTCCAGAAATCAAGTTGAATAACCGCATTACATGATAAAAAGAATGTTCTCGCATAATCTCCTACTGTTATTGGTCAGTAAAGTATATAGGAGAACAGAGAACGTTCACTTAGATCACCAAGTTCGCATAAATATTGGTGGTCTGCACCCTGTAATTGTTTTAGGTTTGGCGGCCATAAACCTATACCTGCAATCTAGACTTCTTTATTGGCTCATCCGTGCGAATTGGTCTCTTCGAACAACCAATCAGAGCAGCCCGGCTCGACCTTTTGACCATTGCATTGTTGCACTTGACCAATGCGCTCACAAGATGTTTAACGGTTGTCAGTTTTGACAACCGGAGTCTGCTAAGCATATATCGCAGCTGGTGTCAACATCACACAAGCAACATAGTAGTCTATGGTTGATTGCTTGTCGGACGTTATTCTCTGGTACCGCATGCGTTACCTCGGCCACATATTGCGCATGCCTTTTCCTTCGAGCGTTGTTTGCGCCTCCCGAAAATGATTGTGAAAACTGCCTCGATAGACAGCCACTTCCGTGGAGAAGAAGCAGGAACCAGGCAATTTAAAACTTCGATTTCGTCGGACCGGTCCGCTTTCCAGGCTGGAAACCACGCAACACTGACTCCCAGCGGCTAGAAACGTTCGATGTTATGCTTGGCAGCACACCTCAGTGGCGCCAATGTCGTTTCGCCGCGTAATCTATTACTTGGCGGCCAATCAAACACATAAAACTCCAAAAAGTAGGCATTGTAAGACTTAAAACATTTCCTTTTCTTTTTCCATTGTATTACTCTACTTTTTGTCTGGCTTCTGATCTCACATTGTTTCTAACCAGACTGTGAAGGAGTGTGGGCCGGCTCCGTTGATGAAACGTGGCTCCCATCCGCATGCCTCCCGGTCTTATTCCTTCGGGTTTACACTGGATATGGGGTATGTGGTTGGTGTATCGCCAGTCACCTATGGTCCCTCTGTAGGCGCAGGCGTCCTATGGCTGGCCACAGTGACAAGCAAATCCGAAACCGGATGCCACCAACCATGTATGTATGTGTGCCCCATGCTGTGGCTGATGTTGCATTCATGATACTTCTTCACCGCATTTGGGCTAAACCAACTTACACTTAAACTAGGTCTTTTTAATTTGGTTAAAACATTCCACTTTATTTGGTTTGTTCTGGGTACCTGATAATCTTGTCCTAACTTGCACACGTCGCTCATGCTAATTGTGGTAAACTTGCGTAACTTTATTATGTGGTATTTTTTAAGTAACTTTCGGACATTTTGTACTTATCGTGGATCTGCTTATAAACCATTCCTTTGTATGCTCATTTAGCGAGTATTTATATCGTCATAAACGTTCACTTTATTCGATATCTTTTATTTGATATATATATATATATATATATATATATATATATATATATATTGCAACAGTCTACGAATAGACATAGAGCCATCAGAAACCATGGGACTCAAAAGAAGCTACAGGAATAGTAAAATAAAGCACCACAAAACACATCAAAGTCCATGGTTTCGTCAGAGG